AGCAGTGCAGGGCATAACTCCACATTGCCAGCTCCAAGCAGGGCATGCCTCACCATGGCTGGCGTGGGGCTTCTGGGGGGAGAGAAGAAGGGCAGGAACCCCCAAGGGCGCAGTGGGCAGCCTGCATCTGCCCCCGCTCTGCATGCAAAACTAGTGTCATATGCCCCCACCCTATGCCTCCCTCCCCAGTAGCAGGGTGTCACTGCCCCCCCGCTCCCCCTCCCCCCAGGACAAGCCACCCACGGCTCGGTTCCACTCCCAGGCCCCATGCACTACCCTGGCTGGGCAGCACACCCAGGCTCAGCTCCTGCCCCACTCCCTCCCTCTCTGTGGGGGGCCTCGATCAGCCCTGACACCGCCCCACCAGACTTACCTGCAGGCAGCTGGGGGAGCTGCTCTCTACCACTGCCTGGGGCTTTATTCCTGGCCATGTGCATGTGTGTGCACGCATATATGCATGTGGTGCCCCCTGCATCCCACTCCCCTCAACCACTTGCAGGCTGGAACTCTGCCAGGCTCAAGGGGAAACCCTCCATATCCCATGTTTCTCTGTGGTGAATGGAAAAACCACTGCAGGATCCTGGGAATCTGGGACAAATGTTGTCCCAGAGTCATGTAGCCTGGGACTGGGACTTGATGTTCACATTTCTGGACTGTCCCACCCAGTTAGGGACAGGTGGTCACCCTATGCCTCTTCCCAAGTAGGGGCAGGGCCCTGGGGCCTTCACATACTCAGTGCTTAGGCATGGAGGGAAAATGCAAATCTGGTTTATTTAGCCTTTCTTGATGCTTTCAGGACTGGAGTGTATTTACATGGGATCCTGATATTTGTCTAGAAAATCTTGCAAAATCTTCCTCAAAAAACAGTTGTATATCTTCCTACTGCTTATTTGGAGCCATGTTAAAATGTCTATATTGAGCCATCTTCACAAAACTATTAAAGAGAAGGTAGATTCTGCTTCTTTTTGTTTGTTACACTTTTGAAAGTGTGGAGTTGTTGCTTGCCTTCCAACCAGTTTCACCATACCTCATTTTCCTGTAGAAAATGAATCTCTTCCTGGTCAAAACTGATGACACAAGGACCTTTTTTATTTCTATGAAGGTGTATTTCAATGCTTATTTGTCTTAAAGCACTGGTGCTAAGCATAAATGATACTTGGGTCTTACATGCAGAATTCTGTCCTGAAATATATTTTATATGGGGATCTGTATCCTTTGACTCATGGATGAGAGATTACTGTATACACACTGATGGAAAAATAAATCCCATTTTTACTTTGCTGGGTAGGTATCTGTATATGCTCAAGGTTTTGATTACACTGTGGTCTGATGAGCAAGTGGACTTGTGCGTGATTTTTTTATTCATCATTATGATTTATCCTATAAAGGGGTCTTCTAGGTAGCAGATGAATATAAATGCTTTGCATAGCATACTTTCAGGCCCCAATCCAATAAAATCTTACTGCTGAATTTAACTTTTATTTACCTGAGTAGCCCTCTTACGATAGTACTACACAAAGTAGGTGTTGCAGGATTGTTTGTGGAGAATTGGACTCCAATGGTAGTATATGTTCTAGTAAGGGTTCTTCAGGATTAGATCCTTGTTTTGTACTTGTTTTTCTGACAAGCAGCGTGTTATTTTCATTGCTTTAATTCTCTGTGGGATTTTGCTATATGAAATTATAGTGACAGTGACTGCCTCTATACATGCGGCATACTGCACAGTTGTTGCTACACAGTCATGTAGTACTTGCATAAGCAAGTACTAAATAACTGCTCAGTAACTGGCATTACTGCATGGTACCATCACTGCATGGTTTTTTCCAACGCTACTGTGCAGTAGGGCTGTGCAAAATTTCAGCATCCATTTCATTGCGAATCCTAATCAAAATTTAGGGCTCAGAAACATCTCCAAAATGAAACGAAGCATCCAAAACATTTCAGTAATGTTTTGGAAAATTTTGGAGTTTCGCAGCTGGGCTTGCAGGGATCAGGTGTACACTACTGCCCTGCCATGCGACTCGGCTCCAAAGAGAGCAGAGATCCCTGCTGGGGGTCTCTTCACTGCCTGCACTGCACTGCCCTGGCGACACAGGGCTGCACGGGGTGGGCAGCGATGGTGAGGAGACCCCTGGCATGGATCTCTGCTTCCTGCGGAGCCAGGTCACGTGAGAAAGCAGTGCTGGTCCCTGCCATGCAACCTGGCTCTGCAGGGAGCAGAGATCCGGGGCAGGCAGTGGCAGGGAGGAGACCCTCGGCATGGATTTCTTCTCCCTGCAGAGCTGAGTTATGCAGCAGGGACCAGCAGGCTTGCTCGCCACTCTGCACTGCTTCCCTGCCCCCACTACCCAGCGTGACGGGGATCAAAGATCTGCATGGGGGTCTCCTCGCCTGCACGGAGGGCAGCAGCTCTTCCCCTCCCCCGGACAAGCCACCCACAGCTTTGTCCTGCTCCCGCTAGGGCCCTGCGTCCCCTGGTTCCAAGTCCATCTGGCTGGGTAGGGCTGTGCAAAGCTTCCCATACAACCTGTTCAAAACAGAGTCGTTCAAAACAAAACAGGACAGTAATCCAAAACACCAAAACGAGTCTCTGTCCTCCAAAACAGCCGAATCCGAAACTAAATTGAAACGCAACCATTTTGCACAGCCCCACTGTGCAGTAGCTTATTACTACAGCACAGTATTGTTGCTGCACAGTTAGTGCCTGGCAGTGCTACCGGCTGGGGTCCTCTGGTGGGAGAGGGGAGGGAGGGGGGAACCCGCCATGCCAGCCGGTACCTGGCCATGCCAGCCGGTACCTGGCCATGCCCCCACTCCTCTTGTTGGGGCAATGAGGTGGGCAGCAGCCTCTGTCATGTTGTCCCAGGGAGAACAAGCCTCTTCCCAGTGGGGGGCCTGCACTGTGGGTGGGAGCGGGGTGGGCAAAGCTGCTGCAGCCTGCGCAGAGCAAGTGGTGGCGGCGGGGCTTGGAAGGGTGGCTACGGGGGCTAAGCTGAATTTTGGGGTGGCCATAGCCCCCCCCAGCCCTCCCTAGTGCCACCACCGCCTCTTGCCCCTGGAGTGGGAAGGGGGAAGGAACCCTAACAGGGGCTGCTGCGCCCCGGCCAGGCAGACCCTAGCTAGGTCCCCAGATGGGAGAGGGGAGGGAATGGGGAATAAACCCCCTCCCTGCCTCCTTTGCCTTAGGGGGAATAAACCCCCTCTCTGCCTCCTTTTGCCATGACAAGCAGGCATCTGGCCACGCACCCCCACCCCGCTCCAGCTAGAGAGCAGAGGGGCAGGTCCAGCCCCACCCAGCCCAGGGCTGAAAAGCATGTTGGGATGCTGGGGGACTCTGATTTAACTTAACCAGGAAAGGGTCTGGGTCAGAAGTTCCATAAACCATTTTGACCTCAATCAGTTAAGTCTGATACTACATTCAACCAGGTTTATCTTAAACCAGCTTCAGCCACTTTGAAACTCGCTTATGTGCACTGAACTTTTGTTCTTTTACAGGTTTAAACCAGTTTCAATCATTTAAACCGGCTTACATGTAACTTCTGTCCCTGGCCATACTCTGTGAGCTGGTGCTTAATCAAACTACATTTGCAAAGATTGAGAGACAGCAAGCGAGGTTTTCTGGTTAGGTTTGCATAAAGCTAATATAATGGACATAGCAAACCCAGAGGCTCAGAGAGGAAGCAGCGTAAACACTTGATTTTTCTGCCTTCCAGTTAAAACAGATACCTAGAAAAATAATTATTTCTCATTGTCAGGAGCAAACCTGCCAGCGTGGTTTAACAGAGGCTTTTTCTTTCTTGTTTTTTCCTTTTTGTATAATCTGTGTAAAGGATTTAATTGATTGTAAAGAGCTCTTGCTGTAGTTCGTTATAGAAAGGCATTTATCCAGGCAGTCTGCTGCATTTGGAAAATCTTCATTCCTATACCAACAGCACTTTCTGAGTTAGCAGAAGTCAGGGAGAGACTTTGGGTAAAAAATCAGCATGGATGGCAGATTAGGCAATTACACTCTGATTATCAGGCTTGGCCCCTCTTTTACTGAGGCCAGCAGAGGAGTGGATTGAAGGGAGCTTCAAGGCTTAGGGCCACAAAAATGCTGAATCTCCAGTTTTTAAAATGCTGCCTGTGTCTCCAGTTTCCTAAATCTGTTCATCAGAATGACCAGTTTATAGAGTGGTACACAGTCAGCCTGTCAGTGGTATGTGTTAATTGATTTATTATAATTACTTTATAAAATTTGCTGGTGGTACTTAAGGTTACATTGTTTTAAATGGGTGGTGAGCAATCTGAGTTTGGGAACCTCTGGTTTAGATGCAGTACAACCAGATATTACTTGCAATGTTAAGATTATTTAAATATTTACTGTCAGTATTATCAAATATCTATGCAATAAATTATCTTGTGCTCATCATTGGAGTTTCTCTGGTCCATAAACATAATTAGAGGAAACAGTCTGTCTAGTGGAAAGGGGACCAGAGAGATATTGTGAAATGCCAGGGGTGTAAACTAAAAAAAAAAATTGTTGTATAGTAATTTGGACAGTATTTTTTTTCACCTGTGCTACCTAGCTAACTAAACACATTTTAACAAGGTTGACAGGTTTCAGACATGTTTTTTAATGAGTATATAAACATAACCCTGGGGTAGAAAGGTGCGTGCGTGCGTGCGTGCGTGCGCGCGCACACATTGTGATTAGAGTTACAAACCAAATCTTAGCATTAATGTGATATTTATTTAGCATAATGTAACAGCATAATAATAAAAAAGCAGCACAAAACCAATAAACATTAACATTCAAACATTTGGATAGCATCAACAAAGTGGGTAAAGTATACATTTGAAACAATAAGCAGTCTGTATGCCCAGAATCTTTGAATCATAGTGTTAAGATGTTCTGTTACGGGGAAACAGTGTGTATTATCGTGAGGTGTCTTCTGCAATGTATGACAATTTGTAGAAGGTGTCTGATCTAATGTGTTGTATCTATGGTGCCCATTCAGCTCGTCGTCTGCAGCTCAGCCCGTGGGAGAGCAGCATTGTCAGCAGGCTACTGACTCCCACGCATTCATTCCTGGCCAGAAGTAAAAGCACAGCTGCCTTGTCTGGAGATGCAGGTAAACCTAAAAGAATGGAGACCTCACATTTTTATTCCAGCCATTCCTTTCAGAAAGTCTCTTTGGGATGTTTTTAATTAAATGGATTAATTAAGTTTATTCGCAAGCATTCTAGGTTTGTATACAGTGAGCTAGATTAGTTTGTACAATACCATGGAAGTTTTTTGCTATGCTTTTGTTCTCTCTCGCTCGCTTTCTCCCCCACCTTCCCCTCCCACCCGCTTCCCTCTTTGTTTGAGTTTGTCTCTAGTACTTTTAGAGGTGCAGCAAAATATATACAAGACATCCAAGCATCATCATCGATTTCTGTACAAAGACCTGAGATTATCTACTTTATTGCCGGATTAATGTTGATCAATATATTTGGTTGGTTCTAATTAACTTATTTTACAACATTAAATTGTTGTGCTTCTAAATTTAGATCCTCATTTCCAATGGCTTTAGTAAGATGAGTAAAGTTGAGCAAGTTTGCAGAGGCGCTGCCTTAGTTATTAGACAATTTTCTACCAACTACCAAATAATTCTGTGCTAGTCCATTGAGGGGAAAATGACAAATATTGAAATGTTATTATAAAATATCTTGAAAACTCTCAAAACTAGAGATAGCAACATCAATATGTTTGAAATAGTGCTTCAATATACTATGATAAATGAGGAACCCTTCAATCTCTAATTTATTATGGTATAGGGAAAACATGATTGTAATGTTTATATATAGTAGGGAGATTTCTTGGCCACATTGCATTTGTTGAACACATAGATTGTGGAGCTAAGCCTATATTTGAATTGTAGGACATGGAAGAGGGATTAGAGATCTTGTCAAGTAATGTTGAAAGATCCTTTCACTTAAGTATTACTGCTGTTAACTATGCCACAATACTGTTCCATGGACAGATATGGGGGAGAGGGCATGGATCATGTACAAATGGAACAGTTCAATTAATTTTTTTTCATCGTTTGTGTCTTCAAACCAAAGCTTTGTAAAATTAGTGCTGAATATCATGGGATTATTCTGTACTTTGTAAATATTGGAAATGCACTATTGACTAGGTAGTAGTTGAGAAAGTAAGGCTCTTGACTTTGTAAGCAATCACTTTACTAGAGCCGATGTAAAAATTTTTCAATGAACACACTGACAGGGTCTCATGCTGGGTAATAAATTGTAAGGTGAATGAAATACTAGAAGAGATTGCAAGAAGTCTGAGTGGCTAATACAACAGGGTAATTCTCTAGTAATGCCTTTTCGGTACTAACTGGAATTATACCACCCAAATACCCCATATGTTTTCCAGTTTTATCCCATAATAGCAATAACTGCAATACCTCAGTGTAGGTCATTTCCTGAAGATTAATGATCAGGTGGTGATAATGTTCCACAGCTGTACCCTGAGCCTATCAGCTTATCTCAGCCTATCATTAATGCCCAGGAAATAACCCTGCTTTATTATAACTTAAAGATGAACTTCATTGCAAAAATCAAAATCAAGTTAACGGTGGATTTTTGTTCTTAAAATCCTTTTTAAATAACAGTTAGGGACATTCAGAAACTAACCCTTTAAAATCTTCTAAACAGATCTGAGAAACTTTGTTGATATATCCCATTTCACTGAAGATAATTCATAAACAGTGTTTAGTGACATAGACAATGGAATAGATTGTTTGATTTTATATATGTAGTAGGAGACTGAGGACTTACCTAGAAGACCAATTCACAGGCAGGAAATAATATATATCATATTTTCCCGCAACAGTATGCAGCTTTTTCTCTCCCCCTCCCCATCCCCCAAAATAAACCCCAGACAAACAAAAAACAATTTTAAAAAGCAGAAAAAAACCCCAACAGCTACTGGAACCTGGAATGCACATGAGGAAATATATTAAGAATAGTTTCTGCTGTTTACTGGGGAAAAGCAAAGATAAAGTCTGCACATGATTCATAGGGAGCAGGCCTATCTCCCTAGCTGCTGCTACTCAGATACTTACTACAAGGAAAGGTCTTTTTTCCTTCATTTTGCTTTTTTAAAAACAAAGTGCTTGTCTTATTCTGGAGAGTGCTGTATGTTGAGAAAATATGGTACTTTACAGTTGTTTAAAAAGTATTGCTTTGCTGCTGCTCCCGTTCATGGGTCATTCAGCAAAGGAATCTTGTGAAACTTCATTTTCATTCATTGCTTATCAGTTCATCTTAGGATGGTTTCCTTTTACTACTACTCCTTTTCTGTATTCATATTATGTAGTAAAGCAAATGCATCTGCCCTTGCTGTAGCATATACATGAAGTTAATTACTTTATTAATGAATTGCCTTTGGAGCTTGCTTCAGGAAAATGTGTGGCATTATCTTTGTTATATTAATGGTCCTTTGTTCTTACAGTGAGGTTCATGAGTATTATTATGGGCTCAGAAATATAAAAACATATGGAAATATTTGTTTGTTCTCTCAGTCTTTCTGGGAGAGAGAGCTTGATGGGCAGAAGAGATGTCTTCCTGTGGAATATAAGGCTACTATTCTTATTTATAAATAAATTAAAAGTGAAGATAATGTACAGCATGAGTAACATGCTGAATAACAAGTAGTCCTAGGATATTGTAAATGACCATGAGAGGAGGAAAAGACAAATAGGAAAAGTATCTAAATAATTACCCAGTTTGGCCCTGCTTTCACTTTGGACTATACTATACTGTCAAGAGAATAAGAACCAAAGGAGAGGTCTGGGAGTACTTTATGACCAGCATTTGTGATTAGTACAAGAACTACTTTATGATCCATATTGCAGCATTAAAATGTGTCTCTTTGAACGTGTAATGTAAATAATGCAAACATAATTATGTGCTATTGCTTTGAGATCTCTAGTAGCAGACTTCATCCTCTGTATAGACATGAGAGCCAGGTACAGACATTACACTTTTACTGGTGTCAGTGATCAGAAACTGGTCTATACCTATAACAGAACAGAAGTTCAGCACATATAAACTAGTTTAAAAATGGCAGAACCTGATCTAAAATATGCACGCCTTCCCCTCCCCCCCCCCCCCCCCCCCCCCCACCACCCCCCCCCAATCACCTCCAGCAAAGGTCAAATGTGTTCACTACTGATCTAAACTACATTACTTACAGAAAATCACATAACTGGATCAATTCTGTCTCAGACTTTTTGAATGTCTGTACCTAATCAGGGAGACCTGCCATTCCAGATAATGACTTGATTATTTACCTAGGCAAGTTAATTTATTACAGTTGTAGATTGCTTATTATAGTAGAAAAAATATAATTGTATGTCATTAGACATGTAGACTTATTGTTTATTTTACAATAATATTGATACTTCTTAAAGTTGTTGAATGAGGGGTCTAGACAATAATTTTTAAGAGGTTCTTTTTAAAACATGGTATATGCTGAAAATTGCAGACAGTTGGCACGTCTGTCTACACATTCATTAATGTGCCATAATTGGCACTACTGAGCATTAGCACTAGTGCATGCTTTAAGTGATACTAACGCACAGTAGACTAATTCTATTGCGCATTACCACCATTTTTTGTGACACGCTAATGCGCAGTAGAATTAGTCTACTGCTCCATTAGTATCTCATGTAACCGTGCCCAGTATGTATGTTTTGGATTCATAAATTTCTCCAATGTTGTTATATTTATCTAATATAATAAATCTGTTGTAATGATAGCATCAACATATACATTCATTTTATGCTACAAGCCTGTTTCGATTCAAAGGACAGCAAAAAAACTATCTAGTTAAGCTCAGATCATGTATTTAATTTGCCCATTTGTTTCTGAAATCTTTGTAAATTTACTCCAGCATTCACAAGCTACCCTTAATGCATGATGTGGATTTGTAAATTTGATTTGAAGGAATGTCATTATTTTTCTGGACTGCTGAGCTTTACTCTCTTTGTAGAGGTAGTATGTTTTTGTCTTTGGGTGTTGCACTCTTTTTCCTGCCCCCTCCTCCCCCTCCAACCCCTTTCCAAAGCTAGCTGTAGGAAACCTAATTTTGTTCTGATTTTTTTCCAAATCTAATTAAAGCAGCTGTCAATAAATGTACTAAGCTAATTAGTCTTAGATCAGTAATTTCATGTCTGATATCTACCAGAACCACCACTGTATAATAAAAAGCAAGGTCAATTTCTGTTGTCCCTTAAATGTCTTTTCGTCCTTGTTGTATACGAAAACGGGTAAAATCTGAGAGAATGGGTTATTTTACCTTTCATATTTAAAGATGCATGAATTCCTCTGGAGGAATGTACAAGTAGCTATTTGGAGCCAAAAGAACAAGTATTGAGTGATGGTTCTGGTTTAAGAACTAGTCATTTTCTTTATGCATTAATACCTTCTTTCTTTTCTCTCTGTCTCTTTCTGTTCCATTCTTGCTCCCTGCTATGGGCTTTCTTTTGTCACATCTCCGCTGCTGCTCTGTTATTGAACAAACTAATGAAATCAACCTACACCCTAGTTATCCCCATTTGTCCTCGTTCAGCATCTTGCAGCCCCATCAGCCCTCTGTCCTACAAGGCCATGAACTATAGACACCCAGCAGACCACACAAGATCCTTTGTCACAGTCCCAGATACTATTGGACGTAGGAGGACTACACACTCTGCAAGGGTAAGTGACCTAGTTATAGTTGTGCATCTCTGCAGGAGAACAATTTGGTATGAACGTATGGTAGAACATAAAAAGTTTTCATCAAGAAAAGCTGGTGGTTTCTGAAAATAGTGCTGAGTTTTGTGGAGCCTTCTGTGATGCCAGTTCCAATTTATCCTGGGCTGGCAACAAAAGTTTCATAACTTATGTGAATTTAGTTTTCAGTCCAATTCCCTAATAACCAAACATCAACATAACAGTTGGCAGCACCACTATCAGCTCTCTCCTTTAGGCAATCCTAGATAAATTGTAATAGGCCAGAGAGACTGAACTATTCTCTTAGCTTGCAGAATGGTCCCTTCCAGGTGGGGTTGAGGCACATGATTGGGTCTATGGAAGAGCTGTCATTGCTGCTGCAGCCTGCTGAGCACGTTGTCTGAACAGAGTATTTCAGTCTGTGGCGGTCTGGCACCTTTTATTAGATGTCTTTGATTTCGTTTTTACATTAAGAGAAAAAAAGAGATTGGCTGGATTCTTTGGAAGAAGCCATTCATGAATTATATCACTAGCAATATCCCTGAGTCTGGTTATTCCCACTGTACTCTGGGAGTAATGGAGAAAGTGAAAATTATACTTTCTCAGTGTTTTTGAACTTCTTTAGGAATTGAGCCTTCTTTTTCACATTTTCTGACTAACCAATCTCCACCTTCACAAGTGTTGCATGTCTCTGAAAACATAAATGGGAACTTAACAAGTGAGCCAAACATTGCTTTCTTAGTACGTCCCAACTGTGTGTTCGGAAAGGACAAACTAGCTCAACTGTTTTAAAGTCAGGAACATATTCTGCTCTCAGTTTCATAGTTAACCTAACAGTAGGCAGCTGTCGATCCTCTGGATCATGGTGTACGTATAGGAGGTACATGATGAATCCACTTGTATGGAGTCCTGCAATCATCACACCAAGACCTTCAACATCTATATCTAAGCAAGAGCATGGAGCAGTGGAGGCTGCCCAAGACCTATCATCCCCCGCTTTAGACCATTGAGACCGAATCTAACAGCCAGACCAAATCCAGACTTCCAGTGCCTTGATGGTTGTAGTTTCTGCCAGAGAGCAACAGATAAGAACTGCTGCTGACTGCCTAATGTCTCAGTGAGGGTGCATTTCTGTCAGGATGATTATGTCCCTCAGCTTTTCTCCATCCAACAAGTACCCACAAGGCAGTGGGGGCTAGGGTTTTGAGGTGCCCTATACTCATTTTACTCTGCGGGTTGCCACATTGTGGTATTTTATGGGAACTACCCCGCCACAATTAGCCCTGCCATGTTGTCACCATGCCCCCCCCCCCCCACCCCGCCCCCTCGTTTTGACCCCCCCCCCCCCCCCCCCCCCGAGTCAGATGCAGTTTACAGTCATACCCAGGACCCAGTTAACCAGATACAATTGAAATGAATCCGATTTTATTTAATAACATCGGGAGTCTCTGGACTTAGGACAATAAATATTAAAAGGGCAGTTGTACAAATCTGAATGTTGTTATGAGATTCCTACTTAAATTTGTTTGTACCTAGTAAAATCATGTTTCAGTTCATGACCACCACAAGTATTGAACAGTGATATTATAGAACACAAATGCATGTGCCTTCTCCTCTGCTGTGTCTGCGCATGACCCCTCCCCTGGTAGTAAATATTGCTTTCTCTGCTGATTATACTGCTCCATGAATGGCAGACAGACCACCTACTATTAGAGTAAGGCATTTGATACATCCCCATGCATCATCAACCTGCACAAATTGCCGGCTACAGTCCGATTTTAGTGTCCCAAGAGCTGAATTTTTTAACATTTAAAGTCACACTGACAAATAGATATGGTGCTGTGCTGTATTTTGGAAGTGTTGTAATCTAGTAGGGAATGTATCAAAAGTTCTGATACCAAAATATTAACAACAGATCTTTTTTTTTCCCCAACACATTTATATTGGGAGATGAAGAATTAAAAAGAATGAGCAGCTTGTGCTTTTTGGCTGCAGAGCTAGCCAACAGAGCAGAGAAGACAGTAACTCTCACACCATATTTCAGGGCTGTGATGGCATCTGTGGTGTTGGCGCATACACAAGGAAACAAACAAAACACAGCCATGTTTGCCTGCACTCCCTCCAAAGCCTGCCCAAAGTGGGGGATGGGAAATTGCTGTTTGCCAAAGGAACTACAGTGTTTACAAGGAATAAGTTGTTTTTCTTTAAGAATTTTAGAGAGCATTGCAAACAATGGAGAGAGAGACGGGGGGAGGAAAAAGAGGTGCAGGGCTGGGGGGAAACTATCTGCCAGATACAGTTAGGGCTTTGAAAATTGTCTGTAGCATCTTATGCCAAATCCAGCGAGCGACAAAGATGAGCGCATGTTGTCAAGTACTCATTTACTTGCACAGAACACCATTGGATTTGTTACGGGAGTCGTGTTAATGCACTTACGGGACGGGCTGTAGAAACTGCTGATTCAGCCTCCATTGCTCATTTTCCCCAGCTGACTGTGTAGCACACGGTGTGCTTCCTTTACCCACATGAATTATTCTGGTGACATGATTTTCTGTTTGTTTACTGAACCTTAGACTGACAAGAAAGACAAAGAGAGAGAACATTACTCGTCCAACCCCTTGTCCAGCATAAAAGGAGCTCATTCTCCTTCTATCCACAAAACTGGATCACGGGCTCCCTTCCCAGTTTGGTAAGCAAAGTACAGATGCTGGGGGTTTGGCTACATGCAGCTTTGATCATTACATTCAGTAAGTGTTTAGCTCGACAACAGAAAGCATCTCTAAACACAGAGATTAAAAAAGCTATTATTACCAATGACTAAAACTTAAATGAAACAGGTCACCATTTAGAAAATGATTACTGGCTTGTCTTGTCAATGCACCTCTCACATGGATGTTGTGAGGATAAATTAGTGTTTGTAAAGAGGTTTTGAAGCCAAAAGTTCAGTGTAAGGGCTAAATATTGTTACTCTGTTTTAACATCTCAGCTTTCCCGTTGGTTGATGGAGAAATCAGAAGGTTATGGTTGTGCTGAGACTTCACAGCTTTTATTTATACAGAGATTTTAAAAGTCATGTCTTACAGATCATAACCAGTCCTCTCACTGTTTTGCTTGTCTGACAGGCATGCATCCAAATCCATGCCTCATTTACCTGGTACACCCAGACAGGTAACCTCATCACCTAGTTCATCCAAAGTCTCCTCTGGTCAGACACGCCCTCCTTCCCCTGGCAATATCCGACCAATCAAAAAAGAGCTCAAACTGGATAGTGAGAAAAAAGGAGCAGAAAAAGAACCTGAGAAGGCATCTGAGGAAAGGAGAGAAGAGGGTAAAGTAGCTTCAGCAGGTGCTGGGGAATCCGCAAGTGGGGAAGAGCCCTCTGTCAAACCAGAACCTGCTCATGGTAAGAATTACTTCTTCAGTCTCAGGGCTATTTACAAGGCTTCCCCTTTCTTCTCTCTTTCCCTGCTGCTTCTTATCTCTTATTCAGGCAAGGAACGTCCTTTTCGGTGGTTGGCTTAGACTGGACTTCTGTCTAATTCCTTTACTAATTCCTTAGATCGCATTGACTTGAATTACTAGGGTTCTGTACATGATTTTGCATAATTTACACCGCAGCAATGAGGGTTCATGTTTGAGAAAGATCACGACACAACTCTTTTTTTCGAGCTTTTTCAAAGTGGAACAATTACTGAATGCCATTAATGCTGAACAGCGTGTCTCAGGAAACTGTCATATAAGATAATGCAAGGAAGGGGAGTGTCTACTTGTGCTAGTTGCTTATTAATATATCCATACTGGAAATTCACTCTAATGCAAAGATGTGCTGCGCAAGGCAACAAAAGAAAAGCAGAAATTATAATGTTACCCATCCTTTCAGTTTTAGCTATAAGGAGTCTGTTGGAAAATTAATCTCTCTGGGGTATTTTACAGTTCTGTCCAGGTGCATCAAAACAAAGCCATGAATATGTTTCTAAGCATTTAAGTGAGTGCTGCAAGATCAAGATAAATCATTTTTGTTCCTTTGACCATGGGAGAAGCTTTCCCCATGTTCCAAGGAACCATAGTTCTGAATCTTTCTCAGTATCTACACATACCACCATAGAGATAGCTGTGTTATACTTCAGTGAGATGTTGCCTGGCTGATAGATGAACAGAAGCCTACCTGAGGACTGTACTGATTAAATGAGAACTGCACCAGTTTACCCATTTGTACCACAATGGGAAGAATAAAGCACAGATAACGGAATAAAGGAAAGAACTAATAGATGAGCAAGAAAGAACAGGCAATGCATCATGCAATAAAGCAGGGCTGTCTAATTCAGTTAATCTAAGAAACCAGAGATTAAATAAAGAAGTGAAATAGTGGCTGTGTACACTCATTCAAATAATCTGAGAGAATTCTCTCAGGTTTTTTCTCATGATAGAGAAACTTATCCAGAGCCACATGTACAGACATTAGAATACCAAAGTCCTGAGGAGCAGAGAGCTTGCAGTGCTGACACTGTGCAGCCAATGAGGGGCCCTGCGTATGCATCTCAGTATGCTGTGTTGGCTCCCTTAATCTGCCTGGCAACAGATGGCAGCAGTTCATAGGTCAGCCTTGTTTAGCTAACCCAGACTGCCTATGGTCAGCCTGTGTTGTCAGTGTGTACAGACGTTCACTCTCCCAGAAGAAACTCCTCTGGAAGTGATTTAACCCTGTCTGCTCCCAAGTTATTTTTTCTCTTGGAGCAGCCATTTTTACTCTAGGAGAAAAAGCCTGAACTTCTTTATACTCATGGTTTCTCCTAAGAGAGCAGCAACTCTCCCAGGAGAAACTGAATATCTGTATGAGGCCAGTGTCTCATCCGTAGACCTTATTTCCCAAGGTCATGCTTGAAGCTTGTGATGGAGTGCTAGGGAAAAGCCTGCATTGCCATCCTTTAAGAAAGTAGGGCTGGAAGGAACCTGATCAGGTCATCTACTCCAGCTCCCTGCTTCAGGCAGGATCTTCCCTAGCTAAGCCAAGTGTCTGTCCATCCTGCTCTGAAATTTCCAGGGATGGTGATGCCACAGCTTTTATAGGCAACCTCTTCCAATGCTTGACCACCCTCATCATCAGAAAGTTCCTCCTAATCTCCAACCTAAATTTACTCAGATGCATTTTGAGTCCATTTCTTCTAGTCTGGTGCCCTGTAGCCATAATCAATAGTCTACCTCCATCCCCTCTATAATTGCCCTTCAGGAATTTGAAAACTTTTATCAAATCCACCTCCCCTCCTTCTCTAAACTAAATAGCCCTACCTCTTTCAGCTTTTCCTAATAAATTGTACTTCTCAGGCCTCTAATCATTTTTGTCATTCTCCTCTGGACTCTTTGAAGTCTATCTTTGAAATATGGGGTCCAAAACTGGATACACTCCAGGAGGCCTCAACAGCCCAGGTTCTAGGGATAAACAGATTACTTATATTAGTGCTGTCCAAATGGTGACCTGCAAGCCATGAGAAATCCATGAGGGTTAGTTTGCAGCCCCTAAGCCGCCAATCCTTCTTTTGCTTCTGCTACAGCAGCAGCTGGGATCTCTGGGCTTTCCCTCCTTCCTCCAGCTTAGGCTTCCTGTCCCTTCATGAAGTGGGTATTGGGAGAGCTTGCAGTGCTGGGAGAATCTATAGCCCTGGTGCCCAATGTGCATAGTGTAGCCAGAGAGCCGGCTATCCCATAGCTGGAAAGCTGCAGGTGGGGGCTGCGGAGATCATGGCCAGGGAGGTGAAGGTTGGAGCTGGGGCAACTGTACAGCTTAGTGCAGCAGGGGGATGCTGTGGAACATGCTGCTGTAGCCCCTGACTGCTTAGAAGTTGGACTATCCTGGAATAAAGCAAAGGGTTGGATAGTCATGCGAGGCAAAGGGGAAAGGCATAGAGGAATGAAATGAGGGGTGATGTTTTGCCAAGGGAAAGGAAACCCAAGACGTAGAAAGCAAAGTGAAAGATTAATTAAAACCCAGTGAAACAAAGTGGGATGGAGATAAGATAAACTTGATAGAGACAATGGAAGGGGAAAGGGAAGCAAACATAGATTCATAGATGTTAGGGTCGGAAGGGACCTCAGTGGGTCATCTAGTCTGACCCCCTGCCCTGGGCAGGAAAGAGCTTTGGGGTCAGATGACCCCAGCCAGGTGCTTGTCTAGTCTCCTCTTGAAGATCCCCAAGGTCGGGGAGAGCACCACCTCCCTTGGAAGCCCATTCCAGATTCTGGCAACCCTTACTGTGAGCTCTTTCAGGACAATATTTATTTAGGTATATAAATTATAGTATAAACCTTGCACTTGTTTTGTATCCTTATCCATTTTAGGATGGGATAGCTGTTTGGATCATGGATTTCCATGTTGGAAGTTGCATTGGAATCTGTCTTTTCTTTGATTATGTAAATAAAAGGCAGGTAAAGCCCTCTCTCCTTCCATCGAAGTGCTTCTCAAACTCAATACTCCCCAGGTTGTCTGAAAGGTTTATCACTGAAAAAAATCTTGAAACCTTTACAACCCTGCATGAACCTCGGGATGTGCAGCCAGGCTTTGCTTCTGCTTTAAGAGAAGAGCTGGTACTGATCTGTTGTTATTTGTAGCTTTTATAAGCCTTAGTCTAGTACTAGGAACCATTGTGCTAAACCCTAGTACAAAGAATAAAAAAATAAATAAAAAGGCAGGCCCTAGAACATGAAACTTAAAACCTAAATATAAGACAAGATGTAGAGTCAGAAAGGTGTACAAAAAAACCCCCCAGGAGGCAATGCCAGTCACCATGATAAGCAGGTAAGAGACTGCTCCATAACTACTGAATTTTTTGTAGGCATCACCACAAAGTATAGTTTGAAAGAAGAACTAGGAGGATATTTATTGGGAGTCTTGGTAGATGTTTGCTGGGGGCTTCTGCCACACACAAGGATCATCATAATGATGCTTTTTTGAAAATTAAATAAGCAGAAAGACCCTGGCATCTTTGACAGAGTGGATACAGGAGATGGGATCTTGATTGTCTAGAAGAGAGGATAGATTATGGTGGGAATAGGCCATGGAGGGACTAGAAAATGAAAGGAAGTAGTTTGTGTTTGATGCAATGGAGAAACAAAGGGAAGGGTGATATGATCCAAGCAGTGAACCAGGAGGATCCTCTTTGCAACAGCATTTTGAATAGATTCGAGCAAGGCAAGATTACATATGCCAAGGCCAGAGGTGAGGATGCAATAGCCCTTGAGATGTTATCCAGGAATCACCATGATTTAGAGACAGCCTGGATGGGAGGTTCTTGTCCAAAGTATACCTGCACCAAACACCCTTTTGGGTTAGCATGGGGAAGACACACCAGTTTCTAGAGCCAGAGGCACTCAAGAGGGACGTGGCCAGTCTTGTACTCATCTACCTTTTACTTCCCAGCCCAAATAACCAGGTGCTTATTTACAACAGGGTCAGCTGGCGGGAGCCTTCAGCACAAGTCCAAAGTGAAACTCAAACTCATACCTCCAGAGCTGTAGGAAAATAGTCTAACCATTCAGTCCAGGGAAGTTCTATAGGTAGGGACAGCTATTCCAAGAGGCTCAAGTTCAGGGCCTAAGTGGTGGTTGTGAGGAAGGTGGCATTCACAGCACACAACAACAAAAGAGGGTTGGGAAAAGAAAGAGTCCCTTTAAGGGATGGGGCTAGCTCACACTTGCCATCCTATCAAATAAAACTTTCAAGAGCAGTGGAATTCTAGTCCCTTTCTTTAGGGATGAGGTTATTTCTGAAAACCAAAACAATGTGAGATAAAGCAAACACACACAAGGTCTCTTGCTGCTCTGTAAGGGGTCATCTGTATCTCAATCCAAAGCTGCAGTTCAGGTAGTCATAGCTGAGCTAGCTTTTACTTTGGCTGCAAGATAACCACAACTGCATGGAGATCAGTGCACGGTAACCACCTGCGTATGTACCCAGGGTCACAGGTGAGTTTTGCAGCTTGTGCTAAACCTTAAATTGCTATGCAGACACTGTGGTCCCTGCATTGGCTAATATAAAATTAGCTCAGGAATGTCTGCTCAAGCACAGTGATACTCTTGGATTTCAGTGTAGATGTAAGTGGCCTTCCGGGACTATCCACATTCTTTGACAGTGTGATAGGACTGTTTTAGTCATGTATAAGATAGATGTCCTGAAGCAGATGTGAGGACAGGCACATGGCTTTCTTTGGATAGAAGGGGACAGGTCTGGAATGCAAACTGTGCAGTGTGGAGGCAGCCCAGAGCTGAAAGTTGGCTTTGCGTTTGCAAATGAGCAGGCCCTCAGGCAAAGAAAGCAGGAGGAGGGGTAAAGTAGAATTTGGGGGAAAGCTCTATGGGTTCTCCACAGAAATTGGGGTGGGGACCAGGAAGACCCTCTGAATGATGCATTTAAGGGGTGATTAGAGATTGAGGAGAAGATTTGTTCTCTCTTTCCTATCTCCTCCTGTCCCCCATCCCATTTAAAATGAGTCTGGTAAGGGTGAGAGGAAGCAGACTAAAACAGCCCTCCCCCAGATCCCAAAGCTTCATAGTTGTCAGTCCTGCCTCTTCCTTGTGCTGCACTGCCAGAAGCACTGCTGCTTGTCTGAGACTGCTTCCTCCCATTAGCTACTGAACTGATAGCTGCCCCTGGCTAATGTGCTCTTGGCCTCTAGAGGAATGAGAACAATTCCATTTCTACTATAATTTGTGGGAAGAAATGACTGGTGTATATAAGCCTGACAAACCAGTGGGAATTTGAAACCAATATTTTACTTACGGAATACCTAACTGGAATAGTAAATGTTGTTATGACACAAATCAGAAGTGTCAGTTCAGTCAGGGGTTGTGCTGTAGGACCTGCTTATGCAGGCTCTGCTCCTGCAGTGGTGCTGCATTTAAAGATCAAACTTAGAACTTTGGCTTTCAAAATGAGGTAGGGGTGCACATGGGAAGAGGGACAGTGTGTCACAAGGAAGAGGAAGGTGCCTTACCTAGGCAAGCAGTCCACATCAAGGCTTCTATTCTGTCACTGGGTTTTTTTGGAATGAGAAAAGGGATGTTGTGTATTGATTAGGATAAAGAAGAGGGGGGCAAAATCTTTGGGATGGACTTCCAGCTGTCACTTGCTGTGTGAACTGAAGCGGGATACTTTGTGCCTTTTCTTCCTTATCCATATCTACCAAAGAAGTGTTTTACAAGTGAACTAATGATTGCAAAGGGCTTTAAGGTTCTAGTGTGAAAAATGCCATTCATGTGCCAAGACTTGATCTTGAGTTCTTATCCTACTGGTTGCATATATGAGCCATCCGCCTGCAAGTTTGGCATTTATGTGGGATAACTACAGAGTAGGGAATAGCAGTTACACAAAAGGCGGCTGCCATCTGAGGGTGCAGACAGAAGTTACATTCATTGTTCTATCAGCCCCCTGAAAGGGCTTTAAAGCTGTGCCATGACACACGTGCATGGCTACAGAATGCTTTTAAAGTGACTGATCATGCATTAAAGTAACCCTCATGAAATGAGGGATTAGATAAAGGCGCTCCACTTTGGAGCACCTTAGGGAACCTGTGTTACTTAACGTAAATCTATCCTGTAATCAGGGCTGGATTGATGCAGCCCAACCCTACCCCCAAGGCTGAATGCAGGAGGGAAGGGAAGAAGGCAAGCAAGCTGCCACCTGGGGTTTGCCTGGCCTGAGCTGGAGCGGGGTTTGTGGATTGGAGCCTCCCCACCTCACATTCCCCCTCACCCTCCAGCTGAGGCCAGGCAAACCCAGCTGACAGCTTGCTCCTCCTTCCCTAACCCCGCTCCCTTCCTGCAGACAGCTAGAGGTTGTGGGGGTAGGGGACATGACTGGGGAAGAGGGTGGCCCCTTGGCTACAGGCAGGCTCCTGGGGCTCCTGCAGGCAGACTCGATTTCCCACATCTTCCCCCCCACCCCCAACCCAACAGGGAAATATCTGTTGGGTTGGGAAGGTGCTGTAACTTCCTGTTCCCTGAGGGAGGCTTATTTAATTATACACATTCAGGGAGGGAAAGGAAAGTTGAGGATGTCACCTATGTGACAGCATTTTGTTGTAATGAATTTTTTTTTATCTCCTTTCCGGCAGCTGCTCCACCTCTGCCTCCAGCTCTACCAGCTGCTTCTCCACCCCCTGTTCCTAGCAAGACTTCTGCAGGCACAACTGACCCTGAAGAAGCAACCCGACTGCTCACTGAGAAGAGGCGGCTGGCCCGGGAGCAGCGAGAGCGGGAGGAGCAACAAAAGAGGGAGAGGGAAGAGTTTGAAAGGTGATACCCCAATTTCCTCCATGGAGAAGCTACCTTTTAATACCATTGTGTTGCTACAAGAGCTACCATCCTGTTAACTGTGAGACCTATGAAAGGGCCCTTAAGAAAAGCAAGCATGAAAATCCCAAATGAAGGAATGTTGTTATCTTTTCAGGGTTTAATGTGAATCATAGGTACAAGCTGAAATATAATGAGATTTAAACGTCTTAAATGGGCATAATCAGTTCATACGTGCATTCAGTGCTTTAACAAGCAGATCTTGAGCCTACATAACTCACAGTATCCTCATTGAAATCAATAAAGCTATGCTGATTAGCACCAGTTGAGGATCTCATCCCTGGGTGTTTGCATCTTCATGGGCACAATAATATTTACCTGTAAGCTGGGGTCACCTTGATATGCCTTTAGTTTTCATTTACAGTTCTTCTTTTTCCCATTCAAAACCAAGATTCCAGTGGTTCTAAAACTAAAAAATGCATGTCTCTCTCTCACCAGTTCAGTCACCCGTTTAGCCACTAATGCTCACCTATGATATGTTTTACCTGTAAGCCAAGTAAAATAAGACTGGCATCTCACTATCCTGCTCATGCAAGTTTCATGGCCCAATATCTGCTTCTTACACTTGTATTTTTTATTGCAGGCAAAAGAAGGAGCAGTTGTCACAGAGAATAGCTGAAGAGAGAGCCCGCCGGGAGGAGGAAGAAGCTCGTAAACAGGAGGCAGAAAGAAAGCAAAGGGAGTCAGAGCAGGAGAAAGAAAAAGAAGAACGTCTCCGTCAGCAGGCAGAAGAAAAAGATCAAAAAGAAAGAGAAGAGATGGAGCGCTTTCAAAAACAAGTAGGCTTCTCCAAGCGTTTCCGTATCTGTCCTGATGGTAATGGTTTGAGCTAACCACCTCATTTTCTGCTCTGTGTGTGTGTGGGTTCCATAAAATGAAGATGACCTATAGAAGTAAACCAAACTTTGTCACCTGACTCTTGATTTCATAGAGAGAGGAGCTGTAAAGATGATTTTCCCTAGAGGGATTTTACAGGTGGTATATCTTTTTCTGTAGGACTTCTGTTTTAATTCTAGGTCTTCCCTTTTACAGTATAATCAAATTCACTAGTGGTGTAACTTCATTTAAACCATTGAATTTGCACCAGAGAAGAATTTGTTCTACCATTTTATCATGCTAGATGCCAAGATAACTTAATAGACAGAGTTCTATACACTTGTGCTAAAGTAGCTGAAGATTTATCAATAGCCTGGAAACCTGAACTCCTGGGCTCTCATCCTGCCTCTAATATTATTTTTGGAATCAGTATGTATACTGTTACTTAACCCCACAAACAGTCTTTAAAATCAAGTTGGCTGTTCAAAAAGTCAGGTCCTTGCTGCTCAGTGTGAGTATTTGCACTGTGGGCATGTCTACACATTCAGTTAATATGTCTGAATATACTCTGGCTCAATTTGAGCCAGTGTAATCGAATTCTCACATCACCATCTACACATGTGTTTAAGTGCAGTAGTTTATTGCACTGCTGGGTACCACTTGTAACTGACAGGACTATCTGGCAGCACAGTCTACTGTACCCTAATTGCTGCACACGTGTAGATGGTGATGCTTTACTGTGCAGCACATTAGTCTGCTGCACAGTAAAGTGTCTGGTGTAGACACACCCTGTGAGGAACATTACTATAGTCTGACCTTTCAGCTTGCTAGCCTGGTTTTCTGTCTGTGAAACGGTAATAATGATGCTTGCTTATTAGTATCAGGAGGCACTTAGAAGAAGAACCTGTCTGTTAAGGTACTTAGATGACCCTCATCACTTGAATAGGTGTCATAAATGTTAAGTAATTCACCCTCCCAACAAATATATTGTTTTGGCTCACCAAAACTCTCACAAAATACTCATTATATGTGCATGGACATAAGGGTCATATGAAATTAGTTGTAACTTAAAAAGTAATGAAGAAGTTTTATCTGAAGTGTTTCTGAAAGTATATTCTGCACTTGGTGTGGTAAATTGGCATATTTACTTTATAACATTAATATATAAAGCAGGATTAAACCTCTCTGTTAAGTGCAGATCTCCTTGCAGCATCTCCGTATACAATGCAGCTTTATCGTATTGAGAGGCCTTTGTACATCACATCCCATGAGAGCTTTGCATTTAATTAAAAAAAGCAGAAAAGGAAAGCCGGTACTGTACATGCATGTGGCTGTTTGTCCTTGCTCTTATTAAGCAATGACAGTGTCTGGAAAGTGGGAGGGAGTAACATTCTCTTGTTTTATTTTGACCCTGTCAAAAGCATCCATCTGCCATTAGTCTTATGAACACTTTGCTGGCTCCTCTTCTAATACCCAAGGTTAGGAAATGCATTTTCATTATTCATTTTCTATGCTTTCATGCATTCATCACAAAGTAGTTACAAAACTAAATAAGATTACCAGTTTTTTTAATTTACATAACATTAAGAGACGAAAGGATTGAGAAACCTGCATTTCAGTCTAAAAAGTCTGCTGCTGACGTGACACCCCCGAGTGTCTTTTCAAGTTGCTGCAGATTCAGATGCGATACAAAGATAAGTGGATGCCAGTGTAAATCAGCCATTTCACTGGAAATCAGTCCTTAGTTCCTTTCCTTTCCTTTCCCCACTCAGAAAGAAGAAGAAGCTCGTCAGCGAGAAGAGGCAGATCGGATTCGGTTAGAGCGTGAAAAGCATTTCCAAAGAGAAGAGCAGGAGCGCTTAGAAAGGAAGAAGGTAACTCAGTATTTTTATGGAATCTTGGCACTATCTCTCAACAGTTTGCATGTATATTGAAGAAAGACAGATGTATTGCAGACGTTGCCTCAAATTCACTAAGGGCCTGGCCCAGACCTACTGACATTAATAGAAGGTTCCTAAGATGCTAGAAAAAAATTAATGAATGATCTTGCTTTTTTTGGCAAGTTGTGCTGCATTATCTAAGATAATAATTGTAGAGGCTTTTTAAAAAATCAACGTCGATGAATGTTATTTTCATTCTTATCCTTTCACTTTGTTTGTAGAGACTGGAGGAGATCATGAAAAGGACTAGGCGCACAGAAACTGTAGATAAGGTATTTTCAGCATCTTTTTATCTGTATAAATAGTTAGGCATAGTTCACTTCTTTCCAATCCCACTTTTAATTTACATATCTATGTTTTCTTTATAGAAATCTAATGAACAGCAAAATGGAGACATATCAAAGGCAAATATTACTCAACAACCAGGTATTGCATTTAATTCTGCTCTTAACACAGTAGAAGAACAAAAGCATAGTAAGCCAAATGAATTGAAAATGATAGGACTTTGGAATTTTACAAGCCAACTTAGTTGAAATAAATGTCAGGAATATGGATGGGAGTAAGTCAATTTTTAAGTAGAATCTTCATCATTTAAAAGTTCTATACAGATAACTATGTTTTACTAAATGAAAAATTTGTCAGACTTTTTTTTAGAAATGTATTGCCATCAGTTTTTTTATGGCCATGTACTTAGTGCTTGGCAAGACAAAACTGTTTTGATTGATCATCACTTGTGGAAATGTTCTTTAGAGTAAAAAAGAACAAGTTCATGGTAAGAGTTGTATCAAATTTGAAAGTGCCAATTCTACCATTTCTTTAGAGTGGTGTTAGAGCTCTGGATCTGTTCTGATGTGGTTTTCCATATTAACTTGTTTTTTTAGGGTTTTATGTTATCTCAGTCATTAAAGCAAATGGCTCCAGGCTAAAGTGTTATATCAGTAGTAATGCTTAATAAAAAGAAAGGAGAGCAGCAGAGTGTGGACCCTAGACTTCACAAAATCAGTCTTGGACTTCCTCAGGGAACTGCTGGTCAGGATCCCCTGGGAGGTCAGGCTGAGAGGGAAGGGAGTCCAGGATTGCTGGTTGTATTTTAAAGAAATCTTACTGTGGGTGCAGGAACAAACCACCCCAATGTGCAGGAAGAACAGCAAATGTAGCAAGCAACCAGCTTGGCTTAGCAGAGAACTCTTTGGTGAGCTTAAACAAAAAAAAGGAAGCTTACAAGAAAGGGAAATTTTGACAAACAACTCAGGAGGAGTATAAGAATATTGCTTGAGCATGCAGGGATGAAGTCAGGAAGGTGAAAGTACAATTGGAGTTGCAGCTAGCAAGGGATGTGAAGGGTAACAAGAAGGGTATGTTAGCAACAAAAGGAAGGTCAAGAAAAGTGCGGGTCTCTTACTGAATTAGGGTGGCAACCTAGTAACAGATGAGGAGGAAAAGGCTGAAGTAGTCGATGCCTTTTTCGATGCCTTTTTCACCTTCGACTTCACAGGCAGGGTCAGTTCCCAAACTACTGCACCTGGCAGCACAGTTTGGGAAGGAGGTGAGCAGCCCTCATGGTGAAAGAACAGGTTAGGGACTATTTAGAAAAGCTGCTCCATGGGAGCAGATGCAATGCATCTGAGGTTGCTGAGGGAGTTGGCTGATGTGATTGGAGAGCTGCTGGCCATTGTCTTTGAAAACTTATGGTGATTGGGGGAGGTACCAGAGAATTGGGAAAAGGGGCAAATATGCCCATCTTTAAGAAAGGGAAGAAGAAACTGCAGACCAGTCAACCTCACCTCAGTCCCTAGAAAAATCATGGAGCAGGTCCTCAAATAATCCATTTCTAAGCACTTGGAGGAGAAGAAGGTGATTAGGAACAGTCAGCATGGATTCACCAAGGGCAAGTCATGCCTGACCAACCTGATTGTCTTCTATGATGAGATAACTGTCTCTGTGGATGTGGGGAAAGCAGTGGACATAATATACATTGAATTTAGCAAGTCTCCCACAGCATTCTTGCAAGCAAGCTGAGGAAGTATGGATTGGATGAATGGACTGTAAGGTGGATAGAAAGTTGGCCAGATTATTGGGTTTAACAGGTAGTAATCAGTAGTTCAGTGTCTAGCTGGCAGCTGGTATCAAGTGGAGTGCCCCAGGGGTTGGTCCTGGAGCCATTTTTGTTCAATATCTTCATTAATGATCTATAAGATGGGATGGAGTGCACCCTCAGCAAGTTCACAGATGACACCAAGCTGGGGGACGTAGTAAATATGCTGGTGGGTAGGGCTAGGATTCAGAGTGACCTAGACAAATTGGAGGATTGGGCCAAAAGGAATCTCATGAGGTTCAACAAGGATAAGTGCAAAGTCCTGCATTTAGGACAGAACAATCCCAAGCACCAATACAGGCTGGGGGCTGACTGGCTAAGCAGCAGCTCTGCAGATAAGGACCTGGGATTACAGTAGACAATAAGATGGATATGAGTCAGGTGTGCCCTTGTTGTCAAGAAGGCTAACAGCATACTGGGCTGCATTAGTAGAAGCATTGCCAGCAGATCAAGGGAAGTAATTATTCCCTTCTATTCTGTACCAGCGAGGCCACTTCTGGGGAACTGTGTCCAGTTTTTGGGCCCCGCACTAGAGAAAGGATGTGGGCAAGTTGGAGAGAGTCTAGCAGAGAGCAATGAAAATGTTTTGGGGGCCAGGGCAAATGACTTCTGAGTAGAGGCTGAAGGAACTGGTCTTATTTAGTTTGGAGAAGAGACGTTTAAGAGGGGATTTAATAGCAGCCTTCAACTACCTGAAGGGGTGGTCCAAAGAGAATGGAGCTGGACTGTTGTCAGTGATGACAGAACAAGGCACAATGGTCTCAAGTTGCAGCAAGAGAGGTTTAGGTTGAATATTAGGAAAAACTTCCTCACAAGGAGGGTGGTAAAGCATTGTAACAAGTTACCTAGAGAGGTGGTGAACTCTCCATCCTTGGAAGTTTTTAAGACTGTCTTGACAAAGCCCTGGCAGGGATGGTCTAGTTGGGGATGGTCCTGCTTTGAGCAGGAGGTTGGACTAGATGACCTCTTGAGGTCTCTGCCAACCCTAACTTTCTATGATTCTACAGGTTTCAGGTACAAGAGGGCAAAAAATTACTTCATAAATGCATAATGTGAACCAGGTTCAGTTGTGCGTTTTGGGTTTATTTTTTGGAATGGATCTCTCTAGAATTTGAAGGATGACTTTCCTCTCCTGTCTGTAAAATGGTAATACATATGCTCGTCTTAGAGAGGTGTTGTGGAAATACATTCATTGTGAAGTTCTCAGACTCTACAGCTATGAGCCTATGAGGAAATTTATAGTTCTTCAGAGCAGGGTTTCAATAGTGTGCTATAAATAAGGTGCTGGGACCATATATCATACAGATGCTCTCTCTGTAAATGAATGCCATTCATTCTGTACACAAAATAAGGCAGAGAGCTGATGGAGGAATTGTAGGTGATCACATATTGAGGATCATCTCAGTGCATACAACAGGGACACATTAAGACTGCACAGCCCACCTTCGCTCTGGCATTTTTGAATTTTTGGGTGCCTGACTTTACAACCTTAATAATGTGCTTTTTTTTTTTATAAAGGTTTGTAGTATTTCCTCCCCTTTCTTAAAATCCTGAGGTGTTTAAAGCAGATGCTATAACTAGAGTTCTATGGGAGCTTTTCAGTAAATGAAAAGAAGAAATGTTCAGGTTATACTTGATTGCTTTTTTAATGTAAACTAAATACATACTAAAATGTAGTCTGTGGTGGGATGTTCGCAGTCTCCAGTGTTTATACTATTCCTCTTTGCGTGGATTGTTTAAATATTCCTTTAGTCAGAGAGCACGTGCATGTGAAAGAATGTCTCTAGAGTCTAGTGGTGAGGACACCCCCGGGAAGGTAAAAGATTAGGGTTCAAATCCCAAAAGGCAGAGAAGAGATTTAAACTGGGATACCTAGAAGCCCATGTGAGGGCCAGAACTACTTGGGTAATGTGGGAATGCCACCACCATCTGTACTGCTACTTTGTTAAGTTTAATTTTTTGTTACTTTTTATTGCATTTTTCAGTAAAAAAGACATTGGTTGAAAGTATTTCAGCCACATCTAGTTTGGGCTGTTGTACCCTATTAAGTGTCTGCTGAGAAGGTGTAAAATGTGAATGTTCAGCCTTATAACTTGGCTTTGGGGATAGCAAAAGTCATGATTGTGACAGAAAGGCCTTTGCCATATTTCCAAACCCTGCTTTAAAGTGTAGAAAAATTCAAATGTTCCACAAAAAAAAGAAAAACAATAGAAAGTTTTAATGTTGGAAAAGAACATATGTTCCCCTAGTCTCATCTTTAGAAACAGGTAAACTGATTTGGCTGAAATTTCAACCCATCCCCCTGCCCTCCCAGTCGGCTTAAGACAGATAACCAGTTTGTAAAATGTTAACCTAAATGGCTAAGTCTGAAAAGTACAAGTGCCTGAAATAAATGTCTCCAACATAGTGTACTGAATGATACAGGCAGTGGTATATTAACCTATAAACTATTCTTCTGAATGTTCCCCTTCTGAACATTTTAATAGATACTGTTAACAGACTTGGAACAACCGCTGCCTTTCATTTTTAAGAGAGTTATAAGAAATAATTGTTTCTTCATGGAACTAGGTACCAGAAGCAAGAGCTACACCAACGAATAGTCATTTACCTGCCAAAAAAAAGACCTCTGTGCCCACTAGGTGGGCTTTCACTGGCTGTTATGTTTGTGTGCTCAGGAAAGAGAGGTGATAAAATCAGCGAAGCTGAAAGAGGCAACATCAGATACAGCCTGAGCAAGCCCTAAACAAAAACAGAGAGACAGAGAGAGAAAGTGTGAGTGCTTTTTCCAGCTGAAAAAGTGTTGGTTGGAATGGGTTTGGCACTGGAAACAAAGACACTTTCTCCTGTGTACTTCCTGCTACCGTAAGGGAAACGGGACTTTGAACAGGCTTTGTAAATAAATAGGTTACACCACAAAAACATCTGACTCTTTCTGCTGTTTCTTCTCTTGGGAACAACCTGCAACACCATAAGCAGCTAATGCCTGGGGTTGCTCTGATGTCACTATCATTTATCAAGCTAAGCGGGCATTTTAAATAGTTTGGCAATAGATTTAAAGGACAGATTATGGTAGGCTTCCATGGACAATGTTTTTGAGTACTTTGGCTAAATAACAAATAGGAGGATGCTTCAGAAAGTAATGACTCTCCTTATGCCCAAAGAAGGGTGTTTGTGCCCGAAAGCTTGCAAAGAAAATGTTTCCCAACTATTTAGTTGGTCTAACAAAAGCTATCACTTTTACCCAAAGAACCTTGTCTGTCTATGTCCTTAGACCAACACGGCTATAACCAACACCACTCAGAAAGTAATGGCAATTTTGAAAGAGAGCCATTTTTTTGTGCAGTGATCATTTACTGGACCCTGTCACTCCTTTACATTTTAAGTGATGGGGGCATTAAACGGTGCCACCATCAGTGGTCCCCGCTACTGTGTAGTTTCCCACTCACTACACTCCAAATGGTTTTATTTTGAAATTGCCACCATCTCCCAGAGGGAGTCATCAGACCTCACGGTGCTGCAGCCCAGCTGCACAGCTGGCCAGGAAGGGAGGACTGCCAGCACAAAGGGTAGCTCCATATGTCTGCTGCCACCCCTTCCCCACCCCTCGCTGCTGATTAGTTGAGAGGGCTGCCTGTCATGTGGCCCCACCCCTCTTCAATTGGACAGCATATGACAGACAGCCTTCACAGCTAATCAGTGGTGAGAGGCAGGGCCACTGGGGCCCCTCGGGTTAGGTAGATCCCTACTTATGATAGAGTATGAAGTGATTACATCACTTCAAATCCTTGCATGTGGGCCTCTTCTGAATAGGCTAGGACTATACACAGGCATTATGCACATGGAGTTGTTTTCAGACCAAGTCTAGATGCCTCAAGGCAACTGAAAACAGACTATACTATTTCTTTCACCTTCCAAGCTGGCAGGTAAAATCCATAATAGGTCACTAGTATCCTTCCATCATTACAGCACTGAACAGCTCTCTGCTGCTTTATGATACGAGTTAAGAGGCCTGAACCAGATTCCGGTGAACAGGTTTCATGTCACAAAACAAGCTTCCACACGTGGCAGTACCAGCAGGGAAACCAAGGAGTCATTGCCCATTGTGGCTGAACTGTGGAGGTGGCCGCCTACCCATAAATCTGGATTTGAGGTGCTCGAGTAGAGAAACGTGAAGAAGCTTGCATTGCTCATTCTTTGGATGAGCAGATCACTGTCAATGCAGCAATTTCCAGCAGCAGCATATTGACATTTTTGTTTTCATACACATTGCAAGAACCTCCACCACTTAACCTTTTAAAACAGTGTAGCATATTTTTTTCATACAAAGTGGAAGTCAACCACAGAACAACGTTCATTTCGTATTACATCTTAAATGGACAAAAGCTGCAAACACTATACTTAAGATTGAAAATGCATCCTCCTCTCTCCACATCTTGGGCTTGGGTTTTGCAGTCCTTGCTGAGATGGTTCCCAACTGAGAGATAAATGGTAGTACCGATGGGGTATTAATTGTGCCCCAGGGGTTCCCCATATCTTGATACAATACAAAATTGCTGCATTTGCTGAGTTTTTGTTGATTTCAGATAGAGCGGCAACGTCTTTCATCTTGGCTGTGTTTTCTTTGTGAGGGATGCGTAAAGCATAAGTCTGTATGAATGTTTCTGTATGAACACGTTTTATAGAAAACACTTTAAAAACAGGAGCTCACTGCTGTTCCAAAGAAACATTTCACACTGAGATTGTGCTTTTTCATTTATTATGAAGTTCTATTAATGTGTGAAGGTAGACATCCATAGGCGTAATGACGCGGCCAGGAGCCCAGGGCAGCTGTGGCTTCCAGTGGCCTCTGTGTCACTGGCATGATCGTGCAGCTGCAGCAACATCCATTTTTTTTTCCATGAGGCACTCCCAAGTTGGTGTCTGGGGCAGCTGCCCCAAGCTCCCCACCCTAGTTACTGCTGTGAAAACCAGTCCCAATATGGGTAGTTACAGACTGGAGTCTTCTTGACTATACAGGATCTGGATGGAAGGGATTTTTAATCCTATTTTTCTTGGCAGATTTTATTGCTTTACATTTTTGCAGACTTTTTTCTTTCTTTCTTCTCTCTGCTAGTAACCAGTCCTACGTCTCCATTACAATCTGTCATGCGCACTCAGCTTCAACGGGCAACAGAATCGCCACACAATGGACAGCCAGTAACCTGTGCACATGTGGTTATTTCTCATCCACCTACTGTAAATATGGACAGGTGAGAACATCATCAAGAGTGTAAAGGGTGAAGGATGTTAAAAATAATTGTTTATTTCCTGATATTCCCATGCATTTGCTGAAGCTGGTTAAAGGTAAACACCACTCTCCATTGTTGGTCTGTAAGGAAACAGTTCCCACAGTGTTCTGAAGTTACCCACTTTGATCAGTTGTAGGGATTAAATTTGTAAAAATAGCACTTGTAGTCTTTGCAGTATTATTTGAAAATATAGTATCTTATTTGCCAGCAAGCATTTTAGTGATGAAATTTTAATGTGGAAGGGCAATTTTTAGTTGTTCTTGAGAGAGAGGCTCCCTCTCCCTCATACAGAAAATAATTTTCTTGAAATAATTGTGCATTTACAACATTACTTCTCCTCCATGCAATATGGAGTGCCATGCTTTTAGAGTGGAGATGTTGATCTATAAGCTGTTCAAGGTGTTAACAAGCTTTGATTACTTCAAAGCAGGGGTGGGCAATTATTTCACCTGGAGGGCCACTTACCGACTTTTGTGAGCTCTTGAGGGCTGCAAGGGTAGCAATGCCTCTAGACAAGTGCACTGCCCCCTGATTGTCATGTTGGGACCAGAAGTCCTTCCCCTAACCCTTGACCTTTGCTACCAGAAGTCCCTCCCCTTGCCCCCTGGAAGTACTCCCTTCTTTGGAGGCAGGGGGATGGGAGGTTTGCCATCTTGGAATTGAGGGGAAAAAAACAAATTGTATACTAAATATCAAATATGTGTTATAAAATGTTTTAATTTTATTTCCAACAAATATTTTTGTCCTGATTTAAATGTGGTTTGCATAGTATATATAGAGGTGATAGCATAATAGCTCAAAACAGTCTTAGTCTTGTATATTGTGTGTGGGGTGTGGTTGGGGGGGTGTGGGATTTGTGGGAGGCTGTGTATGGGCTTTGAGAAGGGGTGAGGGTATCCCTGCTAGCATCTGGGGTTCCCAGCACTACAGGTGAGAGCTGTGCACCATTAGGCTGGTCCAGGCCGGCTCCATGCCTCCACATGGGGCTTCTAACCCTCCAGCGGGGAGCTGCACATAGAGGCATGAAGCCAGCCCAGCCTGAAGGCACTCACTCCAACCTGCAGCGCTGGGAGCCCCACATGCTGGAATGGAGCCAGCCAAGACCAACCCGATGGCACACAGCTGCTGAAAGGTGTGCTGGAAGCCGCAAGTGGCAGCATGGAGCCTGCCCGGCCCAATCTCTCCTGGCTGGAGTGCTGGGAGCTGCAGAGTTGTGCTCCATTGGACCAAGCCAACTCCTTGCTTCTACATGGGGTGAAATAGAATGGCCTGGTGGGTCGAATCTGGCCTGTGGGCTGAATTTTGCCTGCACCTGCTTTATAAGGTACTTGACATGAGACAGAAAATTATCCTGTTAATTAGAAACCTTTATTCCTCTATGGCAGTGGTTTTCAGAAGTTAGGCATTTGATGTTAGCAGTGCCATGTAGCCATGGGACAAGTTGTACAGTTTCTGTTGACATCCATGTGATATTTTTGTTACCAGACTTAATATTAGACATTAGGTAGTGGTATTGAAGTCATAAAATACTTAGGCAAGAATAATCCATTCTCTTAAGAGAGTGTTTATTGAGCACAGCAATTTGCAATGTCAGGCATACAGCAAAGAACAACAGAAAAACTCCACCTAAGCTAAAACACAGCCCAATAAGACACAATGGCAACATACACAACTTAGCCGAACTTAAAATGCAATATAATAAGCCGAAAAGAACAGAAAGCCTTCCATAAATCTTACATAATCCTGAGGGCAAGAGTGTCTGCTTGCAGTCAGGTATTCAGAAAGTCTTTCTGAGAGATCTGCAGGTCATCCCAAGTGGTGAGGGCAGTCCCACAGGTCTTATCTTTGCCTTGGTTTTTATAGGCAATTTGCACCTTCTTCTTCTCCTTCACATCTGTTGCATATCCCATGTCTCTCACAACTCTGTCTCTTGTCTCTTCTTAGGGATTCCAGTCTCTCTCCCCATTCTACTTTGAAATCTAAATGTAGCCTCCTGCCTTCTTCCCCTTCCCTGCTACCTCAGGTCACACACCTAACCTTGTCACATAACTTCAGAATCCGTTAAAGGGCTCATACTTGTTATGACTGTGCCCGGTCTTTGCCAACATTTGTAGTTAGCCAAGTGAAAGCCGGTGTTACTTGGCTTGATCTGTCAGTTTATCTCAGTTTCAGTATTCGCTCTTCTCATATTGCCGTGCAGAAAGCCAAATTATCTCATTGTGTGTTCATGTTTTATGCAGGTACTGCCAAAATATCAATGAAAAATCAGAATATGAGAAGCTGGCAAACAGACCATTATGGCCAGCATGCACTGCAGTATGATTGGCACTAATTAAAAGAGGAACTCATCCTCCATCCATCTCTCCATATGCCTGTGGGATTCTTAGCCTCCTGTCATACTGACAAGGATGTTCCTGCT